TGCCAGTATACTGTACCAGTGAGGGTGTGAGAGACTCAGAAGGATATTTAAACTGGCAAAGAGAGAATTATTGACATTAGCTATGAGTATTTTGTAAGACTCTGTTTTGGAATGTCATTTGTTAGAAAATCTTTGCTGCTGAAAGTCATCCATCATTCCCAGATGGACCTGCGAGCCTTACAGAAACCTCTTTCCCAAATCTCACTCCTTGTCAGTGGCCAAAAGTACTTGCCTATTGACATTTGCAAATTAGATATACAGATATTATTCCCTGAGAAGAAGTGGAGTGTGCAAATGGTATGATAAGATATGGTTTTCTTGGCTGCTGAATGGACTTCGGTCCTGAAAAAAATGCTCTTTTGCCAGAACTCCACATACATGCCCCTGTGTATCCATGGAACTCAGCTTTTCTTTATTAACTAGACTGTATGCACAATATTCACATGGTGAAGATCCTCAACAAGAGCTCATACTGCCCATGTAAGTGTTTTTTTTAAAGAATCAAGCTCTTACCTCTCAAAATTACATTCATATGGTATTGTTCAATATGTATGGCTGACTACTATAGAAAGCAGCAACAATGGGGTACAATGTACTAATTTTATCCCACTTTGACTTTGAAAATATAATCGGTACTTATAAAAATTGTAAATACTACAGAATCATGCTAGTAGGATTATTCTAAAATGGAAGTGCTAATACATCAGGCAAAATAGCTTTGCTAGTCCTGACTGGCTCCTATTATCACCATTATCAGAGAAGGTATACCTCTGGCAACAAAAATGTGCTGGAGCACAAATGAATATATGCAAGAGAGACAAGATTTACGGAAGTGTTTCTTTTTACCCTACAATGAACTTTGTTCTTTTGAGTGCCACAGTTAGAGTAATAAGTGCAAGCTCTTATGTCCAGTGGCCAAGTCTCATCTAGCTGATGAAATAGTAGCCTGATAAAATACACATAACTACCCATTTTGGCAGTTCAATATTCCTCTCTGCATTAGGCAACAAAATACAATCACTCTTGATGTATTATGTATTTATAATATTACCTATAAGTGCCTATGGTAAACAAGTTGTTAGATTAATAAGCTCAGTCTATAAAGCATTATAAAGTAATCATTCAATCAATCACTCAAACAGAATCATCACAGGTTGGTTTTTTTTTGATGTAAAAGACAATGCCTGAACTGAGGGGCTATAGAATCTGGTTTTGTATATCACTGTTCTAAATGTTAAATTGCCTGTTGTGGGAAACTGCAACAAGAACAGCATAGTGATTCAGACATGTTTTGGGGGAGAAAAGACCACACAGCAGTGTTTGATTTCGACTGAGTTGAAGATGTCATAAACACCATTGCCTGGTCACCAGTGACAGTCTTGATCATTTCTATTCGTGTCCTCTTTCATAAAGTTTTCAGTGGGTATGTTTCAGACTGCTGCAGCCTGCTCCCGCTGGCCTGAAAGTCGTGCACCCTCCATGTGCTGAAGGTGTTGTGTCAGCACTGTGTCAGAGTATCCGAAGCCAGACCCTCACCTCAGGAGTCCCATCAAATATAATTGCACACAGCCAAAGCTTCCTGGACTCTGCAGGGATTCATCTCATCCTCATCAAGATGACACTGTGTTGACTTTGGGACTGTCACAGCAGCACTCGTAGAAGCATGGCAGCCACACAAGGAAAATGAAGGGAAAAGGTAACTTATGCCCTCTGCCTACCTTGAGGAGGGCAACTTTGCAAATGAAAGCAAGTGAACACAGACCTCACTTCTCTTTCATAGCCCAGTACACACCAGGTCAGCAAGACTGTGGTGGTTAGCCTCTCACTGCCAGCTGAAATAATGCTCTGCCTAAGCCTGACACCTTAACACAGCAGCAACAGTTCTTAATGTCTCTTTATTCCCAATGAACAAAAGGGCTAAATCTAGACATTGGCACTTCTATAAATACTTTCTGAAGTACAATTTAGTTAGTTTGTAAGTTGTCTTGGTTGACACACTTGCTTAGTTAAATACAGATAGGGCTTGTGAAATGTGCCCTAAGCCTGGTAAGATCTTCTTCATACTCCTGGAAATAATGGTAGCAGTGGAAGTAGTGATAGAAGAATGTAAGAACTCATTCATTAGCAATGTGGGCTAGATGAGACAACTGAAATGATTGTATAGAGAAATGCAGACAGCTTCAGAGCTTTTTGTATTCTGCCATGCAAGTTAGAGTAGCAAGTAAGAATGGAAATTCTCAACTCATGTAGTTGGTTGCTGGTGGAAAATGATCTAGCACTTGTTATGGAACAAGGCTGGAACTGCATAGCTGAGTCATGTATAGCTGTGGTGGGAGGATTTGTTTTGGTGTAATTAATACAACATAAGACTGCAGTGTGCACGAGAGGGTTCTACTGGTGTTGATGGGTGGATTAAGTCTTTGACTTTCATCTCCTTTAAAATGGGGTTGGTTACCCCCTCAAAAATACAGTCTGCTAGAAGATGCTGATTAAGTAGGTAAGTCCTGAAATAGCACTAGGGTGAGACCTATCTGCCAGACAGCATCTGTTATGACAGTTCATGCTCAGTATTTAATAGAACATCGAGTCGTCCAAAATGCCTTGAGGTAAAAGAAATTGTTGCCAGCAGCCTGCTCTCTTGCTGGTTTAGTACATCTTAATAGCAATCTTTTGTCCTCAGCTGCAAGGTGATTCCTAAACATGTCTTCCAAGGTTTTGTCTGCAAAATGACAATCAGTAATTTATACAATAACTGTTTACATTATTTACAACAATAGAGAGCACTGGTGATGGAATTACCTTGTGGAAACTAACTAGTTATATCGTAAAGGCACAATTTGTCAAAAAGGCAAATTAAAGTGTCTATGCCCTCTGCAAAATCCTGATGAGTGGATTTATTTGGGTTGGTGGACATCTGGTTAATCCTAGCTGTCTTCACTTGGCTGCTGATGTGAATTCCTCACATTGTGAGGAAATTTCTTGTTAGCTGTTAGCTAAAACCAATGAGATCTGACTGAGCTCTTCATACGCGTGGAAGGCAGCCAGGATGTTGTTTGGAGAACACATGCGAGGTGCTTCCTGAGCACTTCTCATCTGTTGTCTGTTTCTGATGGTCTGTATTCAGGCAAAAACTCTGTGCCATAACTGCTAGGGTAGATTCATGCCTCTCTGTGTGAAGAAGACCACCAAGTCTTTTCACTTCGATACAGGCTCTTCACATAGCTGTCTGCTGCTTGCTTTAAGAGAGAGGTATTTGGTGCTTATCCTAACAGTAAGTCACTAGTACTAGAAATATCTGTCTGTCTGTGTTAAAGGAGAAGTGTTGAAAGTGAGCAGAACATCTTGAACACTTCAATTCCTCAGTATTCTCTGAACTTTCAGGACAGTGACCCGGATGTAGCCTAAGCGGGGCATCATTTCCCTGCACATCCATCTCATCTCTACTGATGAAGATCCACTGGAATACAGTTAGATCTCACAGCTGTTTTCATTACTGAGGGTCACTCATATTGCTGAGTGGAGATGTATGGGATTGCATTTCTTTCTCTTCAGCATCTAACAAAAGGTAATCTTGCATAAATAGCTTTCCTTTCTGCGATATTTTACATGTGTGGGATAGAAGAGGTTCTGTGTTTGTTCAAAATATGTGTAAGCCCATTAGAAAAAGATAAATTTAGTTAAAAGCTTTCAATGTGTTGGTCAATCTTTATCATATGACTTTACTTCAGGTATCCAAAGAATGTGGCTGAAGATCTCTTCACAACCTAAAAAGTCTGGATTAGAGATGAGTCATTCTGATAAATCTGATGTAACAACCATAAATCAGGGGAAGCAATTGGAAGGGCTGTCTGCTGTTATATCATTCCACTTGACTGAGTGCATTTGTTTGTTTATTACTTGCATTTGCACCCCGCCAGACTGAAAATGTGAAATAATTTTCTGTCATTCAATAAAAAATCCCTAGCAACATTTGCTTTAAAATTTTACTGATAGCTGGGTTTGGAGTTTAGAAATGTACTGGTGTCAATATTTCCTAAGCAATATTACTAGAGATCTCTGCAAAACATGGAGTCAAGATTGACAGTCTGATGGAATCAATCCTATTTATTATCTTAACTATCACAAACACTTGCTAAATCTGTACTTGCCACTTATTACCTTGGTTAATGTTAGTGAAACACTAGTATCTATAATATGCTCCAGGAAGGCAGCAGGCTATAAATATTCTCTGGTTATATTTGATAACCAGGAGTCCCTGAGCACAAAATTTGCACAGAAATCCTAAAATTCAAATCAGGATTTGAGATTTTTTTTGTTTCAATTCACATATGACCTTTAAATAAGTGCTCTCCAGGCCATGTGTGATAGCCATTAGCCTATAAATGATTGAATGTTTAAAACCTATACAGGTTTGAAAACACTCAACACGTTTTAGAGTGTGCTCAGTCCTTAGCTGACTCAAATTACTGAAACAGTAAAAGACATATCTTCTTTATTTCATGGTTCTTTGGGAATATGGCTTTCCCCAGAAATCTCATTGCAGTTTACCAAAACTGGGGATGGAGGCAGGTAATTCAATAACTTAAATTAAGAATTACTTCATCTATTCTGTCCTTTCAATACATACATTTTTCTCTAGTTCAAAAGAAAAAGCTGTATAGCCAACCTAGTTATATGTTGAGTCTTTAAGGCTCTTATGAGCACCCTCTACCAAAAACTGTCTGTCAGAGTTGCTCAGCACATGCCAAGATCAGATCTCATATTTACAGAAAAAAAAAAAAGGTACTTAAGAAATGACATGCATGTACATGAAATGTAACAAGTCACCAATCTGCAGTGTAGTTCATCTGCATATAAATATATAACACAACACAAAAAAGAAACTTGACAGATTTATTTTTTTGTAGAGTAAAATAAATAATTTTATGCACAGCAGAATCTGTTAATATGAGCAACTACATCTTACTTACAGGGTTTATAAATATATATATGTGTGCGTGAAGAAAAGTCCTTGTAAATATCCATTGTATTATCTTGGAATTATTGTCCATGTAGAAGGTTACTGTAGAACACAAAATCATCTTCTTGTCTGAATTACTGTCACCATGGAACAAATTGGAAAAAAAATTATTTTGTGTCAACCAGTCGCACCCCACTGCACACATGGATGTCTCCTAAAGCCATCAAGATCGTATCTGAGCATGTAATCATAGCTGGAACAGTAAGGAATCCTCTTTTTCTTCAACAGTCAAACAGCACATTGAGCCCACAAAGACACGACCAACACTGTCACTCTCAACCAAAGTTAGAAACAAGATTTCTGCCTTATGGCCTTTGAGATATCTTTTTTTTTTTTTTTTTTTTCAGATGTGCAGGCAGGAAATTTATGGAGACAACCTTAGCATACTAAATAACTTGCACAGCTAAGGTTAAAACTGCAAGTTTTTGCAAGTCACTAGAAATTCCAAAGCAGAAACAAAGTAAGCTTAAATTATGTCTAAGTATTTCTAGGTCTATACAACTCTTCACCCTCTGGGTTTTTTTTTTTCAAATCTCCCTATGCTGCGGATTATGGATTTAATCATTCTTAATGTATTCACCATACTAAAAAGATTTAATTGCTTCAACCAAGTTATCTGACTATATATATTTTATTCAGAATTAACTGTATAATTCTTGTATAAACATACTGACTATGTAACTTGTGTTTCTAACAGTAAAGCTCTGTTTCAAGGAAAGCAAAGTAACTTACTTTTAAAGACCTTATCTTGAAAGATACTGAATGCTCCAAGCACCATAAAGTCTGCAATGGGTGCTCAGTGCCGCACAGAAAGTGCACTGCTGTTGACCGCATCCTCAGATCAAGGCTGAGTGAAATCAAAGGGAAAGAGCTCCCACTGACTTCACTGAGCTTTGAATTGAACCCAGGTTTCTTGTGGGCGATCCAACAAGGCAATGTGGTATTTGTGAACCACCAAAAGTATCAGCCCTTACTGTAGCTACAGTTTCTCAGAGAAAGGAACCAAAGAGCGAGCCTTAGTCATAAGGAATATTACTTTGGCTCAGTTTGGGGATTTTTCAGTGACTTGCAAAGCTTTTTAATTTTAGTGTCAATTATCCATCAGGAATATACCAGGGAAATGATGGTAATGTGCAAAATACTATTTTTCCATCACTTTTAATGCTCAGTGTTAAATGTATGCTCTAACGATCTCTGGAAAAGGGGTATCTTAAAAACTAGTCTGGACTGTTCAAAAACCCTTGCTATTGCGTTCTTACCTGCACCAAATGCTGATCCTGAAACACAACAAGAAGCTGTGCTCTCCAAACTGATTGGAAGTGGTGGTGGTGGTTGAGAAAGAAGTTTTCCCACTGAAATTTTCTAGGTTATATGGATTCTATCAGTCCTTGTCTTGAAGAGCTGCTGGTGTCCTGGCAGGGTATTTGTTCATATGTAGCTTATCATTTATTGTAGAAAGCTCTGTAAAGAAATATAACATGAAATGACAAGAAGGCTGGGGCCAACGATTTATTTACCCTCTCATCAGCAGTTTCCTGTTAACCCAAAGCACCAAATCTACTATATACTTTATGTTTGGAATTATTTTTTTTAATTAAATAAACCTGTCATTTGGTCAATTTTGTTTAAAAAAAAAAAACAAAAACAGGCAAACGGCTCGAAGATGTGCCTTTGGTTTCACCACATTTTCTTGTTTATGAATCTAACTTTAATGTAAAGTGCTGTAGTTTATTTCTGCTTTTAAAGGTAAGCTGAACATAATCTGCATTGCAAGAAGTCTATGGGTACTTACTTCTGACCATGGAACAAACAAATGCACTTGTTTTCTAAATGGTCATTTTCCAGAAAGCACATTAAAGTGCAATTTATCCAGTTTACAAAAACACTATATCATTTCTGTGTTTAGCATTATGTTCATGGATGGATGACTCTTCTACAACAGAATATAGTATTTACTGTACAGGCAATGGATTTTCTACACTGCCTGGCTACCAGTAACTAAATAACTATTCTGGGCATTTATGAAGCTGAATGAATTATTTGCCACTTCTGTTTAAATACAATTCTTGCTGAACAGATTCAGGGCCAGATTTTCAAAACCTCATTGCTAGGAACATTGCTGTCTAGCCAAAGAGGGAGGGGAAAGTAACTGCACTGGCTCGGGGACAATACAGGAATCAGAGAGCCATTTGACTGTTTTGATGCATAGGTAAAAAAATTACCCACTGACAAAAGCCATTACCTGCAGTGGTCCACTACAGCCTACTACCAGTGCTGGAATTATTTTGCCATTAACATAGACAGAAACAAGTGTGACTTAACACACCAAGACATAGACTACATTCATATCAACCTTAACATGCTGAATGTAGAATCATACAGACCAAAATTAGTCTTTGATGTCATTCCTGACAGAGCCAAGTGGCTATAATTTGTAGCCTCTGCCCACAAATTAACACCTCAACTACTTCTGAGACTAGTAGACTACAGCAGTGGAGACATAATGCATCCAAACATTGCTATTGTAGACAGAGCTCTGAAGTTCAGCTTCCTTCTAGGAACAGTTGCACAAAAATTTTCCTACTTCATTTGTACTGGTAAGTTGCTTGGATTTGATCAGTGTACCTGAGTCGTTAGTAACTGTTGGCTTGACTTTAATGGCTATAAGTGTTTTTAATTCCAAACAAGACAATTGTGTGGCTTGATATATTTTGGGATGTCTTCCCACAAATACTGAGAAAAACAATACTGTAGATCAAAGAAAGGAAGCCACAAGGAGTAGGCAAGATCTGTAGTGGTACCCATTCTTGATTTTCCTATCAACTTATTTCTTAAATGCTAGATACTTTAGCATGTGCACCAGAAGGGACCCCCCCACATGTAGAGAAAAAGGTACCTTAGAATGCTAGTGAATTATGCATCGGCTTTAGGACTGTATCTGCATTGTGTCTTCATGAAAAATATGGTGGTTTTGCACAAGATTTTTCTTTTGTGATACAGTTATTAATATCTCACCATATTTGTCACTACAGTTACAAGGAATTGGACCAGGATAGTTGAACAAGATTGTGCAACCTTGTTCAAACAGCAAAACTGAAGGTCATATAAAGTGGTGCTACCAAAAGCAACTCACTGAGCAGTAGAGAGTCAGTAGTAATTTAATTAGCTGCTTATAGCAGTCATAGCATGAAAAGCCAGCTGTGTAACCGCAACCTTCACAATTTCCAGCAGAAGTGTAACATCAAAACACACCCAAAAATATTTAGGATTGTGAAGTCTAAGTGCATATATTTGCCTTTAGTAACATGAATAGTAAGCTGCACAGAGGATGGGCTAATGACCACATGCATTCATTATATTACATACACTTCTGATGTTGGATTAAAAAAAAAAAAAAAGAAATAGAGATGTGGACATAATGTAGGCTTTCTGCTGTTGTGGAAATGGAAATCACAAAATAATGTTGGACTTTCACCCCATGGAAGTGTTTTTGCAAGGTTTTTGAACATAGACATGTTCCCCATAGTGAGGGGGCGGGAAAGCAAGTGATCATCATTGTAAGAGCTGAAGCAGGCTAGTAATATTTCTCGTAGCAGGAGGCACAAAGGGGACTTGCACTGTGGCTGTGCCTCACGACAAATCCTGGGTTCCTTCCCATCCTTGCTTCTTAACAGTACAACCTTAAGAGCCAAAGAAGATTGTTGTGGGTATGCTGTTACTGTGGGATATAGAACAACAACAAACATCTTCAGGAAGAGACGGAGTTTGGGATTTTTTTCCCTCCCAAAAAAACAGATTGGTTTCCACTTACTGACAACAGCAGTCTTGAATGAGCTCAACCCAGGCCCAAACTGGCCTTGTACTAAACATAGATCTTACATGGTTTGTTCTTCTTCGGATACTTCCCAGTGGTAAAAATAATATTGCCCCTCATAGCCCTGCAGACACCATTGCATACTGGGGAGCTGGAACTGTTACCACCGACCATGAGTGATTCATGAGTGTACAGCTCATTTTTGGAACTAATTAATTATGTCATGGAAAGAAGATTTATTCTTCTCCCCTCTTCCAGCCCCCACCTTCTCCAATCCTTGCTAATCTTTCTTTTTGGATAACAGGGAGAAAATGAGGAAGGTGTTTAGCAGTCTCAGTTGTCTCTGTGATTCAAATCACAGAATGAAGCCAGACAGCAAAACAAGTGCAGATCAGGCATAGACTGCCTGCTCCTCTCATGCTTTCTCTGCAAGAATCAGTTTCAAATGTTAGGTGGATTTTTTTTTTTTTTGTTGCAATTAACTAAGAAAAATATTTCAAAGCCGTATAATTAAAGGCCAGCATTTTATTAGGGTTTAAAATAGTCTTTATGAAATCTACTCCTGCCACTGGTAATTACAATGTACATCTTAATATACCTCTGCTAGGCCTGAGCTGGAGATAACAGTCCTGTGTGTATTGCATTTGGCTTGTGCATAGAAGGTAAAATCCTTTATCTTATCTCAATCTCCACACAACAACCAGCCTCTCTTCCAATTCAGTCCTAATCTTCTTAGTAAATAATACTGATATTTTTCACCATAACAAAAATGGAGCTGCCAGATTCAGACTGATAACACCTCTCATTTACACACCATTCTCTGTCAAAATCTGCCTGATTTTTCTTAATCTCTTTAACTCATCAAAAAATACTTTTTTACATTCAGCCATGGTAAGTTCCTTGCTACCAAATAATATTATAAATAAATCCATTGACTACAGCTGTCTCTTTGGATAGATATTGGAACTCCTCTCTTTCCTGTCTTGTTTCCTTGAATGATGACAAATTATTCTTGTCCAATTTAATTTTGCTGTAAAGTTTGGTACTCTATGAAAATTACCTAAAAGGAGTGTTTAACAGAGAGCATGCCCCAAAGGTATCTTTTTTTTTCCACAGGATGTCATCTCAGTTCACTTCTCTTGAGAATGCTGCCTTTGCACTCCTATCCTTTCTTTTGCAATGGTTTATCTTTAAAACAAGGAAAATGATAACCTAAGTCCTTGGATTTTTATAGCCTATTAATTATCTCAGTATGATTTCTTAAACTGAAAAAAAATACTGCCGAGAGAAAGGCAGGAAGAAAAGCTGGATAGCAGGATTTCTGCTTACAGTGATTGAATGGAAATAATATATTCATATGTGACTGGTTTATTTCAGTGACAACCTGACCTCTGAGTCACACAGACATTTGAGGTACCCGTCCTAAAATGGCAAACCGTCCATGTAAGTAAACACTAGACTCAGTCATTTCACACCAAAATTTCATCTTCGGTAGATGCTTTCATCTACTGTGTGTGACAGACTGAGGGATATATCACACCAGCAATTTTTCTGTCGAACTTCCCATATCAGAGAAAACAATCTGAAAATCTATAGCAAAATATGGCCCAGAACTGCCAGGTGTTACAGGTGGAAGGAACAGGTATTTGTCTTCTGTAGAGCCTGTGGACCTGAAATGCTAGTTGTATTCCCAGGTAGAATTCTGTGGAATATCTGTGTGGCAAAAGAGGGTTTTTCCACTAACTTTATGGAAGGTTTTTCAGGGTCATTTTTACACCACTCTTTCTTACTTATTAAAGTTTGCAGAACTGTTTTTCAGAAACAAGGCTACACACGTTCATTACAAAGTAATATGTTCCTATTTTGAGGCTTGAAACCTTGCTGCCATGCTCCCAAAGTGCTAATCAGGGACTTCTAATAGCAAAACACCTACAGCATCACTATCCATGTCAGGATTATGAGAAAGATGAACCATATTGTTTAGATAATCTGTCATATTCATACCACTCTGAGAGAAGTAAGAGCTTGTAATATCAGTGAGTACAAAACAGACATCTTGTAAGGCTGGTGGGGAATGAGACGTGTGGTGTGGGGAAATAGGTGATCACAGGCAGGGCTCCAAAATAGGTCCATGACTGTTGTACACTAACACCACATTTAGCCCACACATTGGGACTTTTCCTGCATCCAGTGCTATGTGGGTCTTTCACTTCTCTGAACAAGGAATAGAGAACATAGAGAAACAGAGCAAATACTTTGGGAACCAAAGGCAGGGCATGATTGCTGATGCTATTATACTACTACAGCTACAATTACCACTACTGTTACTGTTGTTTCTGCTACTCATTCGATCACAAAGGTGTGCTAGAGTGACGGAGTTCCCTCTCAGGAGCGACTACACAAAACTGGGACAAACAGAAGATCCCTGCCTGATGGGCTAACATGTAAGTCACAATGTTATATATACTAATGGAAAGAGTTCCCTGAAAGATATGCGTAGCTCCCTGTGGCCTGACCAATTGTCAGCACTGACTACTAATAATATCCATCACACAGGAGACACAAAAGACCAGAGTTTTCCTATAGACTTGAAGAAGAAAGCATCTGTCCTGAATATGTGTTAAGGTAAATAATTTTTTTTTCTAATGACAGCCTCAGTATTTATATGTATCCCTGAAAGCACACTTGCTGGTTTACTCTGTTTTCTGTATCTTTTTGGTTAGCTCTCCTCTGCACCTGGTCCAGTTTTAATTTATCTTTTCCGAGGCCATGTAACAGGACTGTATCAGCTCTTATGGTGAGGTCTCACTAGAGACTTTCATAACGGAGCTAGTCCTCCTCTATTCACCTGAAATACACCTGCTGATGTATCCCTCATGTGCCCTTTTTTACTGCAGTATCTCACCGGTTGCTCTCAGATGTACTGTGACTGACAAATAACCTGGGGTCCCCTTCTAGCTCAGTCTTTTCTAACTGATTCCTAATTTTTGTTATTAGTTTCCAAATGCATTATCTTCATTGGGGAACAAGTGACTAGCTTCATTATCTTCAAAATACTGCTTCTCATCCCATTCTTATTACACATGTTCTTACTGTCATCCAGCCTTTTTCTGTATATCATTCTCTCCTGTGTATTGATAGTGCCAACCTATGTAGTATCATCACATTCCTAATATTTGTGTCATGGTCTTAATTGAAATAAGAAGATCAGACCCAAGACTGATCCATAAAGAATTCCACTGCTAACTGGTAACCCTCATGATACTTTTCCTTTCAACACTATCTTTTGCTGTCGTTCCTTGAGACAGTCTTTTACCTATCTTTCAATTCCTCTACTAATCCCTATCTTCTCCAGCTTAACAAATAATTTCCCATGTGGCACCATACCATAGACTTTATTGAAGTCTAGATAGATGAGATCGACTCCATTTCCTTTGTCTAGAAAATCAGCTATCTTATCAAAGGAAGCTATTAAGTTAGTCTGCCTAGATCTCCCTTCTTATATTATATTTCCTACTGCACTGTATCCAGTATTTCCTTTACCTCCATGTCTTTATCTGTTCCTTCAAAACCTTTTCTAAACCCCTGCACACTTTAGAGGTTAAGTTTACAAACAAATATTTCCCCAAATACTCTTTTTTCCTCTCTCGTGTAGTATACTTTCTGTTCTCCAATCATATGGCACTGTTCATCTAGGCTTTATTCCCCTTTTTGACTTAAAAGACGAACTCAAGTTTTTAGCCCCTTTGGCTTCAAGAAATTCAAGGTCTAATTCTAATTCAAGTTTCTGAGGTCATCATTCCACATTATGTTAATAACCAATTGTGTTAGTTCAGTAACATTTTTCTCTAGTAATAAATAAAATATGACTTTCAAACTTTTCTAAAGATCTGTCATTTAATTGAAACTACTTAACTCATTACCTATTTTTGTCTTTCATAACCAGATTTTCCATTGGCCCTTAGCGGTTTTGATGATGGAGTCTTGCATTGAGAGGGAGAGGTATTTTGCTTCATCCTTCATAAATGCTATCAAGTGTATCCAGATGACTTAAACTGAGAAATACAAGAGCAGTGGGGATCCGACTATGAAGGAAAGGGAGCCTAGGATTGAGGTGGGTTGTTTTGCTATGAAAACGAAAGAAAAAATGAAGCTGGGGAGAACATTCTCAAGTTGATATTTACTTCATGCAATTGTTTAAGATTTTATCCAGAGCAAGGCAGGAATGTAATTTGCTGAGCAACCAATCTAGTGAGTGTTCATCTTTATAATAAGCAAAAAGGAAGATACTATGAAATAGATGACAGAAAATCAAGACTAACCCTGAGGCCTGAAATCACCATACCTCTTTTTCTGACTTGAAAATTCCACATGAACTATCCTGGCTCAAATATATGTGCAACTACATGCTCTTATCTCACTCAGTGTTCACACCGTTTCTTTCCATTCAAATGTTTGTGGAAGGTTTGCAAAAAGGGAGACCAGACATCGCTCCTTGTACTAGCATACACTTACAAATATTTCTTCTTGGTTTAGCCTTTTTTTTTTTTTTCCCAGCTACTCTGTTTGCCTTATTTTATTGATCTACTATGTCCCAGTAAGCTGTTAAGCAAAAACTCTGAATCCCACTTCCCATCAGATGGTGAATGAGGTTTAACTGGTCTCCAGTCAAGGAGATACACTGCAAAAGCAAAGTGCTTGCAACACAGTGCACTCTATGCTTTTTAAAACTTCTTAGTACTGCCAAAATTAACTGGCCTGTGTCTGACATATGCCTGTTTCAATTGTGTCTGTGGAAATATTCCCCCCTGTATAGCTAGTGAGCTGATTTATGGAATAGTTTTAGCAATTTGTATTTAACCCTTAACTTAAAGCATTTTCACAGTACTGACAGAAATGTGGGTGTTGAAAAGTTCGTTTCCTGACCAATATATAACGATCAAATGCTGTTCCTGATTACACTGGCCCCGTATTTTTACGGACTCTTTGCCAGATGTCAAAGAAGACATTTACAAGTGAGCATGCAGCTTTTGCCATACACTTTCTGAACTTTGAAGTTTCTGCTGCCTTCCCGCTGAGCAGAACACATTCAAGTTCAAGTGGGATATAGAATTGTTATTTAAATCTTACAGTCAAATTAGACCCTAGAGACATGATTGTATAGCGTTATTGTCTCAGTCCCCATGAAGTTAAGTGTTCTCATATCAAATATGATGTGTTTCAACTTACCACCTACTGCACAAGTATTCATCTCATTGTTAAAAGATATCAGGCAAAGTGGCGTTTTATTTATTTTTACATGTGGCAGTTATTTTTAGTGGTAATGCTAGTGTGACACTACTGCCTTTTCCTGCAAGTCACAGGAACATGAAGCTGCTACCTCAAGTTCTCAGCCATGTTAATGATAAAAAAGCCTCCAGGCTTTTCTTAAAGATCAGGATTGCATTTTTCATTGTGTCTCACTTTTGAAGAAGGATATTTTCACTGTGAAGTGCTGCTCTCAGGAGAAGTGTGTTTTCTGAATGCAAGTTTCAGTGGTGACCCAAAGGCACAAACAGTGAGACAGCGGAGCCGCATCGCTGCGAGTTCAATGGGCAAGGAGTACCGGCGCCATGCTGGGAGGGCTGCTGCTGTCCAGAGGAGTCCGGGACAGGGGGACATCTGCCTGCTAAGAGGGACAAGACTTTACATCACAAATCAACCAGAGGGATTTTTAAGGAACTAAATATTTGAGAAATCATGATTTCGCTGAAACCAAATTGCACTGCAAACATTTAACTTGATTTCACCTGAATTTTCTTTTGAAAGAAAACCAAGGAGAAAATGTCAAAATAATCCATTTAAACATTGTTGGGGTTTCATTTTTCACTTGAAATGATTTTTCACTTTTGTATTATATTTTCTCTAATACAATAGATTATATAGTACAGCACAAAATAAAACATTAACATCAAAATGGGATATAATGAATGACCTTGGGTGTTTTTTAAATAGTTCTTTGTGAGAAATTTTGAAATATCCCTGCTTTATTTCCGGCACAGAATGAAACTCTTGTCACCAAAGCTCCTTTTGCATAGCCTCCGAGTAAGTCTGCAGCTGATTTGGGAAGTAAAGATTGAATTTGCCTACTTGTCTCTCTGGCTAGCTCAGAAACACTTGCTTTTCTGAAAATGGTTTCTTACATGCTCTGTGATTTCTAAGAAGACTTGATCTATAGTCCTCTGAAGTTACCAGAAACCTTTTTCTTGGCTGGAGTTTGGACTGTAGACACAAAATTTTTGTACGCTTTAGTAGTGTTAGTATCTGTCCCTTTCTTTGGTAGGGTGATAGGTGATACGTGAGGGACTCTGGAAGACATTTGTAGGCAGGCATTGATGGAAGGTGAAGTGAGATTAGGACCCTTCTGATTTTAACATTAATTCCAAATAAAGTCCAGACTTCCTAGTCTCCCTGAGCTATTAAAGCAATATACAGTTGTGACTGAAGAACTCCTTTTCCTTAACTTTTTTTCAGTGATTCAGCAAAGATGTATTTTACATTAGTACTTTATTGTACACCTGTATAAATTATGCTGTTGGGCAGCCAATGTTTTTTAAAACAGCATTGCTGTCAATTGCTTCTGTAATGGCACATTTTGCAATACTATCAGATGACATATAACCTGTTAAATTATATAGAAAAGTATTGGAGAGTATCACACTATAATTAAATGACAATAATAATGAGACCAATATTAGATGCTGCCATCAATTATGTAAGACTGAGAGTTTATTATATATTTTTCCAAAAAGCCTTGCCTGCGGTTGAAAAGACATTTCATTCAAAACCCCGCTGGGGCTTTTAACATTTAAAAAGTTGTTAACCTCTGAATTCACATTCAGATGTTTATGCCATGCCCAGAGGAGAACTTCCATGTGCAAGATGTTTGCTAAAGCTATGTGAGGTTCTTTTAAAGACATTTTTATTAGTCACTTAAATGTTGTGCATATTTATTTGTTCTTTTGGGGTTTTTTATATCTAAGTGATTAACAAGTTGTTTTAAAATTTCAGGCCTGATCACTTCCATGTAAATGTTTTGTTGACTATTGAATATTGTTCAATGCTACTGTCTCCTGGTGAATCTCTTCAGTTTTCAAACAGCAACACTATTGCTAACACTTGTATATTCTTACATCTGAAGTTACTTTAACACTACAGCAAATATCTTCTGTTGCATTTTTGATTCTGCTTTCAGCTGCATCAGAGCAGCACCCCTAGGCATAGGGTCACAACTGGACCCTTGTATGCACTGCACACATGGCCAGGAAGCCTTCCTTTGTAAATCTGTTCAAGTCCTCTGGAGGAGCCATTGAGTATGTGCACAGAGGAGGTCAGCTGAAAAAATTTGGATTTCTATTTTCAACAGGGTCCCTTAACAGAGTCTTTTAAAGAACTAAGCTGACAGGAAATAGGAGTAAGAAAATTTTTATCCACTTAGGATTAAAGGGTAGGAAACAAAGTGTGGGAATGATTGGTAAATTTTTTTAAGAGAATAATATTTCTAGTGAAGTCTCACAGAAACTTATTTGTAAGTCCTTACATATTTGTAAATTATTTAGAAAAGAGGTGGTATTAAGATGGTGAAGCACATTGTTGGTTTGAGGTTTTCAGGAATGTAAAGACAAATTGCATGTGAGAAGCTTCAGGAGTTCATAATACCAGTTGTCTGAGCAATGAAATGCTGAATGAAGTTGGTATTAAAAAATAGGAAATGATACACATGGACTTCAAAACCAGTCCTGACTTCACACGTAACCTCATGACCATTCAGTTTCTCAGCAGACTCATGTGTACAAGCATCCTGAATACCGTGTGTGGTTTTGATCCCCAGCTCACCCATCCCCAGTCTCAGGGAAGAACAAGATAAAATACAGGGAAGGGGAAAGGGAAAGGGAAGGGGAAGGGGAAGGGGAAGGGGAAGGGAGATTTAAGACTCGTGCTGGAATGAATAGGAATAGATTGGGTTTTCTCAGCCTAGGAGGAGATAACTAAGGGGGATGTGATGGAAATCTTTAAAATCACAAATGGTGTGGAGGATATTCATGTTTTTTCACAGTGCAACAGCTAAGGAGAGCACATTAAATAATCAAATGGGAGTATAAAGAAAGAAGCAGGATACTCTTTTTCCTCTCAGTTCATAAACTGTTCTTACTCCTTTCTACAGCATATTGTGGATGTTCACATGGTTTCAAAGACATTTGGACAACTTCACAGACAAATAGTCCATGAAAAGCTATTAAAACAGAAAGGTGTCACCACTGGCTCAGAAGTCACTGAGTTGGAAGTTGTTCTAAGGTGAGAAAGCACATCAGGAAAACAATGCCATCAGCTTGCACTGTGTGAAGTGGGGGATACCCAAGCAATTTCAGGGAAAGTGCCAAGGGAACCTCGGTCAATTGAACGTCCATTAAACCTACAGATGAGCTTTGTACACATTCTTGTTACCATCCTCTTGCTGGAGCAGATAGGGGAGAATAGGTCATGTCTGAACCAGGCCTCAGAAAATTGTCACAAACAGTGTCTGATCTTAAATATTTTCTGGTTTGAAGAAGGTGAGATTGTATTACCCACAAAACCATCAATGGGCACAGCAGCTGCAGAGCTTCTCTGTTGTCCTTGTTCTGCACTGTCCCTATTGTACAACTTACCAAGGCTGGTTTCTATGTCAGTAAGAGCAGCAGGAGAGGAGGGTTGGGTATATTGTAAGCCAAGTTCTCTAAAATGTAGCAAGCCATAAAATTTCAAAGTGAGAACAGAGGAAAAAAAAAAAAAAAAAAAAAAAAAAAAAAAAAAAAGAGGTTTGATAGGCTAATTGAAAAAACAAGATATAATATGAGAAAATTTCTTCCATAGTGGTGCTATGCTTAAGCTTGTAGTATGATGAGGGGAAAGAGTTAACTGATAGACTTGCAAAATACATTTTCAGAGGAACAGATGATAAGGTAAAGGTTAGGTGTTCCTTCTTTAGAGCTGTGGAAGTGGCAATAAAATGTCAGATGAAACTCCGTGTTGATCAGCGTACATTGATACACATGAGAAGAAACAGTCTTAACTATATATGCAATAAGGTAACTAGCACTGAACAGGCAGCTATTAAAAGAGAGAAAATGCTCTTTCGAACAGTAATGCTTTTCTCAGATAAGAAATGTCCTTAGGTAACATTGTAAATGGAAATAAATTAAAACCTGACTATCCAAATATTTTGCACCAGTAAAGAGAAAAAACCAAATAATTACATGCCAGGATGTTCACTCACCAGGTTACACAAGGAGCATGAGCCTATTTTAGAACCTGCCTGCTCTCTGCTTATTATCTCTACCAGACATTACAAATATGCAAAATACTCCAGTCGGTGTTGTTTTTGAAGGATGGTTAAAGCAGATGGATAAACTGGTTTAGGTGAAAATAGAAACTGGCTTCTAATCTGGTCCTTTTTTTTTTTTAAGTGCTCTATGAACCTTTTTTATGAAGTTTAGTAAAACCTGAGATTCACATGCTTCTGCATTTCCTGTTTTTGACCAATAGAGGAAACAGAAACATTGAAATACTGTAAGATGTTATTTTTAAAATATTTGCACTAAGCCAACCAGGAAATTCTGGAAATCTTGCAAGAAGTCTAATCCTGTAGACTATGTAATCCAAAAACGGTTTTGCACAAGTTTGTCCAGCCTTTCAGGTATTTATAGTCTTATCTGATGAGGATCAAAAATATATAAAGAGCACTCTATTAGCGTGAAAAATATTTTGCATGTGCAATTGGAGTTGCCTCTGAAGAGCTTAATTCCCTGATGGGAAATATGCAGTAACCTGAGCTGCAGCTGGATGCCAAACACCAAGGGGCCATGGAAGGAGGTGGAGTCTGAGTTGCCACACAGAATAGGAATTCTCAGTGGAGGGAATTGTAGCTGCAGCTAAGGGCACCCACTGCTTTCTGGGAGGGAGGGAGGGAGGGAGGGATATGTGGACCCTCAGTAAGAGAAACCAACTGCAGCAGTCCAGAGGTTAAGATGGTCTGGTGGGCAGAGTGCAATGCAGTATATTCA